GGCTGGACCCCGCCAAGGTCCTGGGCACGGCGCTGTGCCCGCGTATCCACGAGGTGCCGCTGCTGGAGCCCCTGGTGTGCAAGAAGATCGCCCAGGAGCGCCTGACGGTGCTGCTCTTCCTCGAGGACTGCATCGTCACCGCCTGCCAGGAGGGCCTCATCTGCACCTGGGCGCGGCCCGGCAAGGCGGTGAGTCCCGCCGGACGCCGGCACGGGGGCTGAGGGCCCGGTGCTGTGGCAGCGTCCAACCCCGCCAAGAGAAGCCGGTCTCAGATCTTAGCGCGAGCCTTCTAGAGCCCTGGGCTGTCAGCTGAGAGTGTTGGAGAGAGGAGGCAAGGAGAATGGGTGGAGACGGAGGCTGCTCAGAGAGCCCTGTCTGAGAGCAGTGAGTTGGTGTCAGGCAGGAGCACAGCATAGGCTGGCCAGGTCAGGCCAGACACATCTGTGGGGCATCTGGAACCCATGGACCCAGCTGCTGCCCTAGGTCTTAGCTAGACCCTGGGCCCCGTCTGGCACCTCTGCTCATGGCATGACCTTGGCAAACCACACTCACTGAGCACTGTCCTACCACCTCCTAGGGCAGAAAGCCTTTGAGATGGGAGGCGGTGGGCGCGCCCCTCCCCAGGTGGTTGTGGGGTCCAGGAACCTCACGCCAGGAGGACCGAGGGCTGCGGTCTCAGGAGGCTATTCCTGGGGTCAGGCTCTGCTGCCCAGACTGTCAGATCTGGGGGGCCCAGTGCCGTTCCTTGGAAGAGTGAAATGTTCTGGAATCCTAGAGGCCGGGGTCCCCGAAGCACGGGAGTCAGTCTCCACACCTCACGCTGGGCTGGTGGGGTTTGCGGAGTCCACCGAGCCCTGAAGGGACCTTCTATCTCCCTAGTTCACAGACGAGACTGAGGCCCAGACAGGGGAAGGAAGTTGGCCCAGGTCACCCAGCAAGTCAGTGGTAGAGGTAGGACTATCCCTTCCAGACTCTCGGGACCCTCCCAAGTCAAAAGGGACCCCAGCTTTCCCCTCTGCTTCCCACCTCTCCCCACCCCCTCCCTCTGCTCAGCATCCCCTGAGGACTTTAATGATTGTCTAAAGTGCCTCCTGCAACCCGGATGCCAGCTGAGATGGGAGGACCCAAGCCTAGAGAAGCGGCCTCGATCTGGGGGTTGGGGGTGGCCCTCCCCAGGGACTGGCGGAGCCCAGGTGGTCGCTAACCCCTCCTGTCTCCCCCTCGTCTTCCCCAGGGCATCTCCTCCCAGCCCGGCAACTCCCCAAGCGGCACAGTGGTGTGAGCTGCGGATGTGCCCCCAGCCTCCTAGCTCTAACCTCCCTGCTGACCTCACCGATCAACGTATTAACAAGACTAACCATGATGGATGGACTGCTTCGGTCCCCTGCCCTTGCACAAAGTGGGGGACAGAGGGTCCCCAGAGTGGCCCAGACATTGGGGGATGCAGCAGCCCATGTGGCCTCAACCTTGTCCCCACCCACACTGCCAAGTACAATGACCCTTTCCTCTGAGACATCAGTGTTAGCCCACCTCCCTCCCCAGCATGTGACTGGTCACTCCTAGGGGAGAAGTCCCCACTGACTATAGAGCACAGCTCTCTGGTGGCCCCTCTAGCCCGGTGGGCGGGGCAGGGTGTGGCCGCCTGCCTCTGCCCCCCTCCCTTGCTGTTGTCTGTGCTTTCAGAAGAGTGTTACCTTATGGACACCCCTCAGGGCCCTCCCTGCCTCCCAGGACCTCTTATTTATACTAAAGTTCCCGTTTTCAGAGCCTTGGGCCTAGTGTGTGTGTTCCCTTCCGGGGAGATGTGGAGGTCGCGTGTGTATGTGGGTGTATGTGCGTGCTTGCACCCCTTGCCGGATTGTCTCTGTTCTAGAATCAATCCACTTCAACCTCTGGAGGGGCTCAGGGCCGCCCGCCACCTCCTTTCTCCCTCTTGTAATAGCAGGAAAACCTGAAATCTGAGGTGGGGGGCACTAGCTCGAGGCGGGTAGTTGGCACATGGCTGGCTGGTCAGCGTCTTGCTCTCCCCCCAGTCACAGGCGTAGATGGCAGCCAGGACCCCTCTCCACAGTCCATGCGGGGAGTTTTCAAAGTTTTAAAGTGCCAAAACTGTCCACATGAACGATTACAGTTAAACAGAAAGGGGCCTGCCTGGATGGGGGTTCCCCCGTCAGCTCCTGAAGTGCCTGGTGGGGACCCCTGGGCTAAGGGCTGCCCCGAGGGCCTGTCTGACCCTTGGTGTCTGGGGCTAGGGCCCAGCTTCCCCTCCAGGAGAGCTGTCCACTCCTGGAAAGAAAAAAAAAAAAAAAATTCCTTCCTGGCTGGCTGGCTGCCGAGGGAGGGAGTGGCGTCTTCCCGCTCCACCGCCACCCCCCGAAATGTTTCTGCTTCTAATCCCAGCCTGGGCAGGAATGTGGCTGCCCGGCCACGGTCCAAGGAGCTATTTTGGGGTCTCTTTTGCCTGGGGGGTGCTGGCCTCCCCCAGGCTTTGGCCTGCGGGTCACCCCTGCTCCTGGCTTCTGAGGGCCTCCCCTCCCTGATTTGCCCCTCACCATCCCTTGCCCCGCGTCCTGCCAAAAAAGAAAAAGTGTAAAGCCGAGGGCCTGCGGGCTATATTTAACTGTCCCAAAGTCGGTATCCACGGCTGAGTCACTGAGGAGCTGCCCCGGCCTCCGGGGCCCCCCTTCCCAGGCCTCAGCCCCTTCCTCCCCCGCCCCCTGGTGCTGGGGCTGCTGGGTCTCTCAACCTCACTTGGCCCCCTCTAGGCAATGGGAGTGTCATCTCTGTCAGCTGTCACACCTGTAGTTTCTGGCGTGCCATCATTTCATGGGGGGGGGGACGAGAGTTTACATTCTGCACACGCAAACCATCAAACACAGAGGGCCCCTGGAAGGGAGAGTGGGGGGGCTGGTTTGTGAGGGGTTAAGGCTGGGAGGCGGGAGGGGGGCTGGACCAAGGGGTGGGGAGAAGAGAAGGAGGCCTCCCAGCAGAGAGAAGTGGCCATAGAGGCCCAGGGGACAGGCAGCCATGCAGCCAGGGCCCCGGGGCCTGGACGGGGGCTGCTGGGCCCTGTGACAGGAGGACCCCGAGCCCCTGGCCCGGGGAGGGGGCCATGGTGCGTGCTGGCCGACATGTCAGCCGAGGTACGGCTGAGGCGGCTCCGGCAACTGGTGCTGGACCCCGGCTTCCTGGGGCTGGAGCCCCTGCTCGACCTTCTCCTGGGCGTCCACCAGGAGCTGGGCACCTCCAACCTGGCCCAGGACAAGTATGTGGCCGACTTCTTGCAGTGGGGTGAGTGCCTGTCGCTGTGGGCCCCCCGAAGGGGAGGCGGCGGGGCCCTGGTTACTGGAAGGCAAGAGCAGGATGGACGTGGGGAGACCTTCCACTCAGGGCTCCAGAGCTTGAACCCGGGTCCCGGGGCAACATGCCTGCCCCCACCCCCCCGGTACCATCCTGGTGGAACACGGCAGGGTCAACAGAGGCCAGGCACTCATGACTCAGAACAGGCTTGGGGAGCTGGGCGGGCTGGGCAGAGCCTGCCATAGTGCCCTGCCCTTCCTTCCCAAAGCTAGGCCTAGGGACATGCTGGCAGCCTATCTCCTGGGACCCTCCCCTGAAATGAGCCTGTGGCCCTCTGCTTCTCCAGAGCTCAGGGCAAGCGCCGGGGGAAAGCGTGGGGCAGCTGCCAGGGGCGCGGCAGAGGGCAGGTGTTCCGGCGCCAGCCTCCCCAGTTGCTCCAACAGGTGCCCAGGCACAGGGAGGGTGTGGTGACTCAGGCCGGCCCTGGGGGAGAACGAGTTCTGCACACAGGCGCCACCTGGCACCTCTTCCTTCCCCCGGGTATAGGATGGCCAACTTGGGGTTCCTCTGGGTGTGCCCACTTTCTCTGTAGGTTCCATGGTCCCGACCCCAGCAGTGGCCTGGTCCTTCCCAATTCACCCGTGGGCCCGTGCTGGTGTCGTGGTCTTCTGACCCTCCTGGTTCAGGGCCCCCAACCTTCACACTGTCCCCAGTGTCCCTTTTACAAGGTCCTTCTAGGAGGGTGAATAGGCCCCGGGATCAGGAGGGAAAATGCTGCAACCTCGACCCCCTGCCTTAAGCACACACCACCACCCCCGCCACACATACACACACAGCCCAGGACTCTGGTTTCTATCTGACACCTGCCACTCTGCCCCTCCACTTTCTGGTCCCTCGGCGGCTTCCACTTGGTCCGTGGGCTCTGTGTGGCACTGCGTGTTTCCTGCCTCCCCACCCTCTCCTTGCCCAGGTCCAGCTCTTCTATCCCAGGCCCCCGGCCTCTCTGTTATCCTCCCACTTCACAGATGGGAAGGTAAAGGCAAGGCCCTGGCCGCTCACCCTGTTCAAAGGCCTTCCCCCAGCCCATAGGAACTCTCCCAGGCTCCCTTCTGCGGAGCGTGCAGTTCTGCCGGCAGGGGTAAACCGAGGCCTGCGCAGGGGTGGGGGTCCGGCTGTCCTGGAGGGAGCACTCCTTTTGTGGCTTGAGCCTGCATCTGGCGGCCCCTCCTCTGCCAGGCACCGGGCGGGGGAGGGGGCCTGGGCTCCCGCTGCCTTAAAAGGGCTCAACGCCCTGGCTCTCTCCTCCCTCCCCTGTCCCGAGGCCCTGGGGCCCTGGCGGGCTCTTCCCTGCTGGCCCACTCTCCCCCAGCCCCGCACAGCCCCTCTCTGTGGCCTTATTTCTGCAGCCTTATCTCTTATTCCCCGCCCCCCCAGAGCCCACTCTGTCTCTCCTATACCTGTTCCTTCGCGTCGCACTCTTCATCCTGCCTCAGGTGTCCCTACTCCTCCCGCCTCCCGCGAACCCAGGCCTCCCTCTCCCCACTGGCCCTTTACCCCCAGCTGGCCCCCTCCCTCAGGGTCCTGTCTGACATTCTGAGCTGTGGGCCCTGGGGCCAGTGACTTCACCTCTCTGAACCCTGGCGTTCCCACCCGTAAAGGAGGGATCACCACGGAGCCGTCCCCCCGGCAGCTGGGAGGTCTGAGATGACACTGCGCCCTGGACGAGTGTTCTCAGGGTGTCGCTGCTGCCTGTGTCTCCCAGCCCCTCTCCTTCCTTCCTCCCCACCCCCCAGCGTTCCCAGTGAGGTACACAAGCCTCTGAACCTGGAGATACTGAATGAAGGCACCTTCTCCAGGCCCTAACCAAAGACTCAGTAAATCAGAATCCGGGGCTGGGCCTGGGAGCTGGCGTCCCCCTGGAGGCAGGGTGTCTCCCTGGAGGTGGTTCTGAAGCCCAGGGAAGGCTAAGAACTGCGGCCTTATTTCTGCTCTTGCCCTTCTGCAGGGCCTCCCCTTCTTCAGGTGTTTCGTACCCCACTCTGCACCCTTTTCCCATTATACCCCTTTGGTTATACAAGCCCCAGTAGGACTTTCTAGGCATCTCACCTTGGCGGGAAGCCAATTTCGGCTCCCCCAAAATCTCACAGTGGCTATGAGAGAGTTTGTAATGTGAAACGGGGCGACGGAGAGAGAGGGAGACTTCGGGGTAGAGATGGGGGAAAGAGCTAGGGAGAGACTGAGGGGTTGAGGGGGGGGGGCACTGGATGGCAGAGAGAGGGGGAAGACCGAGGGGCAGTGAAGGGGTTATGGAAGGGCAGAGGGTGGGGTTTCCCTGCCTGTGCAGTCTCCGCCTCAGTGACCCTCAGTTCTTGGCCCCCCATTCTCAGCGGAGCCCATCGCGGCGAGGCTTAAGGAAGCCCGACTGCAGAGGGATGACTTCGAGATTCTGAAGGTGATCGGACGCGGGGCGTTCAGTGAGGTGAGCCGGGAGCCGCGGGCAGCTCCGCGGGGCGCGAGACGAGATTGGGCTGGAAGTGGGCGGGGCCTATGAGTTTGGGGCGGGGCCTTAGGAACTGATGAATGGCTGAGCGAGAGAACTTAAAGACGGGGAGGGCCCAGGGGCGGGGCTTAGTGCAAATGGGCGTGGCGAGTGGGGCGAGGCCCCAGCTGGGCTGGGCTGGAGGCCCTGCGTTCCCACCGCCACCTCCGCCCGCGTCACTCTATTTCGACCTTCAGGTAGCGGTGGTGAAGATGAAGCAGACGGGCCAGGTGTACGCCATGAAGATCATGAATAAATGGGACATGCTGAAGAGAGGCGAGGTGAGGGCCGGGGCTGGGTGGGGGGGTCCCGAGGACGTGGTCTCCCACCGCCGCGTTTCAGCGCCTCTGGGTACCGCTTAGGTGTCATGTTTTCGTGAAGAGAGGGATGTGCTGGTGAACGGGGACCGGCGCTGGATCACGCAGCTTCATTTCGCCTTCCAG